GCTCAGCCCAGCCTCACAAGCAAGGGGCATTTGCAGCTGAGGACGCAGGACCAGGCTGTAAGTCCGTGACAGCCTAGGTGTCCTTGGGCATGCTGCTGCACTGCTCTGCACCTTTCTCCCCCTACTCCGCAGATATGGTTTCTTAGAGCTTCTGTACAGCACGCACCACACTGGAGACTCAGCCTGGGTACACAGGTGCCCTTGCAACTAATAACAGCCTGGGCAAATCCAGGGGAGAAACATGCCTACAGCTTTTTGGAGCCCTCAGGATTTCAGTTCAGTCTCTAACAGACAATTCCCATGACTACGAGCCCTGCAGGGCAATCATAAAGAGTTTCTCTTTAGCCCACTAAGACCCAGAGCCAAGAACAGAGCTCAAATATCAGCACAAACCTGGGCCCACGGGGGCCCATCTCTCAAGCTTTTTGTTCTCCCGTTTGCAAAATGGAGACAATGATTCTTGCTGACCTGCAAGGGTGAATCAGCTATGGTCACGAAGTGCTTTGTTGCTAAAAGCAACTACACACTCTAAATATTCCTACTGGGAGCCAAGGACTATTTGAGCCGTGAAGGCTGCTCCTGATCCCCTCCAGATCATGGCAATCAGAAACCTATCCTGAAGATAAAGAACTGCAGGATGCAGTACAACTGTCACAGCTGCAACGGGTCTTTAGTTTGCAGCACTGCCCTCCTGCTGGCTCCTGGAGAGCTCCACCTCTACCATTTGGAAAACTGCTTTGGACTGCTTATGACAGAGCTCTGCGTAAGTTGGTGTGGAGTTTTTGGAAAGGACATCACATTACGGATCATGATACCAAAGCTTTCAATAAAACAATACAAAAATATATGGAGATTCAAATGCAAGTTAGATTTGATCCACCCATTTGAGTGCTTCTGCTTTGGAAATAATGTATCAGTTATCCATTTAATTACCCAGCACAGCTCCAAAATGCACGCATGACGTGTGTTAGAGATGGGGGGAGAAGAGGAGGAACTTACCAAAAAAGGGGTGAAAGGACGTTTGCAGAAAGTTATGATTGCAATTGTGACTGTGCTTTTAAAAAGTACTGCTAAAGTTGAGGTTCAGACATCCACAGCTCATGCAAGGAACCACAACAGAGCTGACATCTTACCCTCACTCTGCTTCTTGGGCTTTTGCCTTTATATCACCTGTGCCATAAGCAGACTGGTACAGGAACTGGAAATCCAGGCCCTGCTCAAGAGATGTTAATCAGGAACGGGCTCTGTGTGGTAGAAGATGCCATGCCCACGCGGTGAAGGCACAGTAAATCCCCAAACTGCTTTTAATCAAAGAATACAGGCCTGTAACATCACGTGCTGAGCCCTGAGGGCCAGATGCTTACAGCTGGCTCTCGCTGACGGACCCAGAGTTAATGAATTTGAAGCGCCGTGTTCGGTTCAGCCAACTGCTGCAACTCCTCCTCACCCAACAGCTCATTTCCCCAGCCTCAGTGCTCATCTCATACCCAGCCCTGCTGACGGTTTATACATCCACAAGTCTGACGGCAGGGAAAAGGAACAGCGACAGAAATACCTCTAATGTTTACCTATTTATATGCATGTCCTAAGTGCCCTTGACATCATTAAAAAACACAGATTTTTAACTACATCATTAACAACAAACATTTTCTTTTCATCTGCAGTCAAATTTACAGTTGCGTTTAGCTAGCTTGTAAATATATGGGTTTAAATTCAGTACAGACAGACCCCACACGAGCAGGAGCTCTCCAAAATTCACATGTTCTCCCTTCTTTCCAGGGAAAGGCTGTGAAATTCCCCGTTCTCGTATATCTTACGGGTCTGACTCAATGGCAACAGTTCTCTTTCACAGAACTACTGTCAACTTCAGAGAGCTCCGAATCAGGCCCTATTATTTTAGTTTATTGCTCACAGTTAAAAAAAGAAGTTGTTGAAATGCTAATCCTATTCACAGTACCACTTGCTAAGAACAGAGCAGCGTATCCCAGAGCAGATCAGGATTAGGAGCCTTTATAATTCAGAATTCAACTCCAAAATACGGAGCGCAAAGAAACGTATTACAAAGTATTGCTTATCTACCACAGAGCAATTCTCATGGGTCGGGAAGAGGAACAGTTGTAAATGTTAATAGAGCTTCTCCCATTGTAGACGGATGCTATTTCTGGGCTAGTATGACAGCCTACGAGAAAACGATCAGCATCGTTCCATATTCTACTCAAGTGACACTGCTGCATGGCTGATCACAGGATTATCTGGGGTAGCCAATAGAAGAGAGGCTAAATATAGAAATAAAAGTATTCTCTAAGGTATAAAGTAAGCTGATTTAAAAGGTGGAAGACAAGCAAGCCAATATAGAGAAGTGGACTTTATTTCAGTAGCTGCCAGCATAGGTTATATGGTCTGTACACACAACTTAAGAACCAAACAACAGTTTTGGGTACTATAATTTTGCTATTCTGTAAATACTACTATTTAAAACTTATATGCCGCATTCTCCCTCTAGTTAGTGAGTATTTAAGAATAAGGAAAGCTATGCATAGATATATCATTAGGGTTTCTAACTTTTTTTTTTTTTAATTGGTCTTAGGAGCACAGGAGCCAGGAAGATACAAAGTATTTCCTGACAGCTTAGCAGACTGCAAAAAATAACTCAAATGAGTTCTTTGCTGTGTGCCACCACCGTGTGGGATAGGCAGCCTTCACTACACACATGCTGATGGACTAGCACTTCTCTGCTTGCAAATACAACACTGAAACTAACTTGATGAGAGTCAGGAAGCGACCTCTTGACGTTGATGGGAGATGCCCCAGTAGAGAAGCTACAAAATGGGAAAATCTGGTGCAAAGAGTATGCTCAAAAGCCATAGGAGAGGGGCAGGCCTTTGCAGCGGCACAGCAAACAGACAGATGTCTAGACATACGGACCTAGGCTGAGGTGGAGGAGAGAGGACGCCCAGGTCAAAAGCCTGCTCAGAAGCCGGGCCAGTGGTACGCATCCATTGGGGTGCCCAGGGTGAGGAACAGGACAAGCCTCGAGCAGGACAGCAGAGACATTACCCGGCTGAGGAGCTGCCGAGACGACTCATGGGAGAGTATCCGGGCAGCACGTCATTTGCACAAAACTAAGCAGACTGCGGCATCTGTAACAGAGGAGGGAACTGCAGATGCTGCTCAGATAATGAACAGCACAGCGTGGTAGCGTGTGCAGCCCTTGGAGGAGGGCAGCGATAGGGAGCAGCTCAAGGCTGGGGACAGTCAGCCCGCAACCGCTTCTTGGTCACCTCTGGGTTAAGCAAACTGTATGTTTTATATCAGACTGGCTTATTTAAAAACATCTTTGACCTTGGGGGAGAGGGTTTTCTTTATGAGAACCATGAGGGGACGGACTGATGGGGTCAGCAATGAGAAGACTGCCTTTTCCAGGCAGCGAGCGGAGACGTACAAAAAGAAAAAAATACACATTCCTGACAATTACTAAGAAATCAGAACGGGCCTTAAAGTCAAAGATGCAACTAAATGGGAAAGATAAAACAAAAGCTAACCATCTTATTAACATCCTTCACAGAACAGGGATGTGTGGTTTTATGAAAGTATATCATTGCTAGGTTTAAAATATCCACTGAATTATCAAAGGGCTTTCAGTTATAGCTACATGCAGCAATCCTATTCTCTCAAAAAAATATGCATACATAAAAATACAGTGGCATTTATAGTCCTAGCTAAGGGTTTTGTGGGTTTATTCAGCTTTAAATCCATGCTGTATATGGGTCTCTTGAACTAGTTGATGCATGTAACTACATCCTGTGCCACAGAAGCCGCTGAAAGGAAGATTCACTTTACAGGCCAAAGCAAAGATTGGTTTGGGACAAACAGAGCACTGAGATAATCTGTTTAAATATTGTATCAGATTGGCAATATAAGGCCATAATGGAAAGAACAATTTCCCCTTGTACTGAGGGCTGGATACACAGGGCATGGATAAAGCAGGGGCTGCAAGCCACTGAAGAGCAGAGTTGATTCCTATTAGGAAAGAGAAGTAAACGTATTCTGTTTAGCTTTATTAGCCACAAAGCTCAGGTAATGAATTCAGAATAAAACCACCCTCAGCCATCAGCTATTGCTTAGATGTGGATATTTAGCTAAAATCAAATCAATGTACTGAGATGCAATATAGCCACAAAGCTCAGCATCTCAGCCTGGCACTGCGACTACATTTTCCCCATCCTTACAACCCTGCACAAACGCCCTCGTTTCCGCTTCTTCAACCGCAAGCAACCTGTCTTCACCCTCAAGGCCTTTCCCAGCCAAGCTCGTCTGCCATGGAGATGACAGCTCCTGCTTCCCAGTGGCTCGCAATGCCAGCCCCATCACTGCCTAGCTCTAGTCTCAAACTAGTCCCTTGGTGCCTTTCCTACAACCGCGGGAGCAGCCTCGCACGACATCTGTAAAACCACCCCATGATTCTCCTGCTCATTCTTTCTCTGCCACACCTACAGCCCTTGATGAGGGTTAGGCAGCCAACATGTCAAGTTCGAACCTGTCTTGGATTCTCCTCATTCATATCCTGGGTTATCTCTCACCTTGAGCAGCCACGGAGTGGGGCACATCTCCTTGTTCTGTTTGCAGAGCACCTAGCACAGTGCAGCTCTGGCTCACGAATTACTTGAATTAAGCTATATGGTAGTTCATCATTTTTAAATAGTGAGTTAAGACACAGCCAGCGCGTGGAGGAAGAGGTGCAACCGACGGTCTCACGGTCATGCAGGAGTAGCTGAAGTGGGGAAGGAGAAGCGGTTTATTCGAGCCTAATATCCAGCCTTCAGCAGTGGATAATATTTGAGGCTACATTCTTAGTCCAGTGTACAATTCTAGGCGCACGGAGATGGAGGAGGGGAGTCCTTCCTGACAACTGCACTGATTAGCTGGTGCCCTGAAGAATGACGTTTGATTACCTTTATCTTCGGCTGCAGAACTGCAAATGTCACTAATGGTCATAAAATCACCCAGTCTTTTTCAAAATACAACCGAAGTAAATTAATCTATTGAGTACAGTTTATTCAATACTTCTTACTCTGGCAAAACTCCCAACAAAATCATTTGCTTGCTGCATGTCTCCACCATATGGTGTCATTCAATGCAGACTTTCTATTCTGCGTTGAAATCTAACATACAATGGAGTCAAGTCACCTAAAGAGTTTTTTCAGCTCAAACCTACTGACACAGTTTTCTGTCAAAGAGGCCACACAGCACTTTCTGTTTTGGTACACTAACCAATACCAGCATGAATCCTCCTTTCATAATT